CCTAGAAGGAGAGTTGGCAGTGAATGGTTGTCAAGGGCAGTTGGTGTTAACGACTGTCTTGACAGATATTGCAAGTCAATATCAGTCCCATTCATTGACAACTGGGACAACTTCTATGGCAGAAGGGACCTTTATGCTAGGGATGGGGTGCACCTGTCTAGGGATGGAGTAGCAACCCTGGCTGGGGCTCTAGAGGGGGCAGTTCAAAAGATATCGAAGTCTTTAAACTGCTAAGAGAACATAGGAGCACGGGGGTGGAGGAGACTGCAGTGGGAGCGGGTAAACAAGGCGAAAGATTACAGGGAAATAGTGTTAGGAATGATGACAAAACTAAATTAGACAGGGAGTTTAAAACTAAACGCGGTAAGGGAAGGACTCAGAACACGACTAACTTAAATGTATACTACGCGAACAGTAGAAGTATGAGAAACAAAATGGATGATATTAAGGCCTTGGTATGTACCGAAGAAATCGATATAATTGCATTCACTGAAACATGGATCAACCTAGACACACGTGAATTACCAGTCGAATACCAAATTGCAGGTTACAAACTGTTCCATACCGATAGGCAGACCAGGAAAGGAGGCGGAGTAGCAATCTATGTTAGGGATAATCTGAAGTGTGAAATAAATAAGGAAATAAAAACTGAGAGGAATACAGAAACAATTTGGATAGAATTAAGCGACGGTCGGGAAAAATTAATCACAGGGGTAATATATAGACCCCCCAATCTTGATAGCGTCAATGAGCGACTTATCTGGGATGAAATGCGCAGGGCTTCCATACACAACAAAGTCTGTATAGTAGGCGACTTTAACCTTGGCCAAATAGATTGGACTGTCCTTACTGGTAACTCAGAATCAGAGGATTTTCTCGAGACGATCCAGGACTGTTTCCTAAGTCAACATATAACCGAACCCACACGGGGTAATAATATACTGGATTTAGTTCTGACGAACAGAGAAAACCTCATTAGCAATGTCGAGGTAGGGAACGAACTTGCAAACAGCGATCACAAAGAAATTCGATTCCAGTTAGATTTTCAGGGCAGACGTAAGGAAAATTCCACTAAAGTACCAGATTTCAGAAGGGCAAACTTTGACAGTTTAAAGAGGCAGCTGAGAGAGGGGGTGTCGCGCTTGGCCGTGAACCTGACAGATGACACCGACCTGATAACGAGATCTGAGATTGCCGAGTTCCACGATAATTTAAATAGTGAGTTACTTAATGCACAAAGGCAGAACATACCATACAAAAAACTCAGATCAGACAACAATGACCCTAAATGGATAAATAATTATTTAAAGAACATCATTGGCCAAAGGAAGGCTATAGGTAGAAGGATAAATCGTGGCGAAATTCACCTCCGGGACTATTATAGGGTATTGGCGAGTAGAGTTAAAACCGAGATAAGGAAAGCAAAGAGGAATAATGAGGTAAGGATAGCAAGGGAGGCGAAGACAAACCCCAAAGGATTCTACCAAATGTATCAAACTAAAACACGAGAAAAGATTGGACCAATACGGTCAGACTCCGGCGAGCTCACTGATAACGACGGAGAAATGAGCAATAATTTGAATAAATATTTTTCAACAGTTTTCACCACCGAAAATCTAAACATGATACCCGAGGCACCGACTCTATTCAGAGATAGTGAAGAAAACAAATTAAGTGAGATAGTAGTGACTAGTAACGATGTTAGTAAGCAAATAGACAAACTAAAGCCTAATAAGTCACCTGGTCCCGATGAGATATTTGCCAGAGTATTAAAGGAATGTAAGGAAGAGCTTAGTATGCCCTTAGCAAAGTTGTTTAACATGTCCTTAAAAACAGGTGTAGTACCAGAATCCTGGAGGATAGCGAATGTAATACCGATTTTCAAGAAGGGGGATAGATCACTATCCTCTAACTACCGCCCAATCAGTCTAACATCAATAGTAGGCAAATTACTGGAAGCAATCATTTCAAACTCTATTCGAAATCACCTGGAGAAGCACCGATTGATCAATGATTCCCAGCATGGCTTCACAAGCGGACGTTCTTGCCTAACTAATCTATTAACATTCTTTTCATCAGTTTTCGAATCAGTGGACGAGGGGCACAATTATGATGTGGTATATCTCGACTTTAGCAAAGCCTTCGACAGAGTCCCCCATGAAAGACTAATTAGAAAGGTAGAAGCTCATGGCATCAAAGGTGACATCCTTAAATGGATTAGGGCGTGGTTACAGGACAGGAAACAGCGAGTGAGCATTAACGGCACCAAGTCCCAGTGGAGCAACGTCACAAGTGGAGTTCCCCAAGGCTCAGTACTTGGACCATTATTGTTTATTATATACATAAACGACATAGATATCGGCATAGACAGCAACATAAGCAAATTTGCTGATGACACTAAAATAGGACGTGTTATCAAATCTGACGAGGACTCGGCAAAACTACAGGAAGATCTAAACAAATTTTTCGAATGGTCTGAAAAATGGCAGATGAAATTCAACGTGGACAAATGTAAAGTACTCAGTATAGGAGATGTAAACAGGGAAACCAGATACCAGATGAACAACGATGCCATAGAGAAATCCGACTGCGAGAGAGATTTAGGAGTAATGATAAGTAGGAACCTTAAGCCAAGTAAACAATGTGTTTTTGCTCGTAACAAGGCTAATAAAGTACTTGGGTTCATACAAAGGAGTGTTAGTTACAAGACTAGCGAGGTCATCCTAAAACTGTATCTTGCTCTTGTGAGACCACACCTGGATTACGCAGTTCAGTTCTGGTCACCGTATTACAGAATGGATATAGAATCCTTGGAAAGAATTCAGAGGAGAATGACAAGAATAATCCCGGGCATTAGGAACCTTGAGTATAGAGACAGGTTAAAGCATCTTAATTTGCACTCCCTCGAGAGACGTAGAGCGAGGGGCGACCTGATAGAGGTGTATAAGTGGAAGACAGGGCTAAACAAAGGGGACATTACAACGGTACTCAAATTATCCAACCAGGAGCGAACTCGTAACAATAGTTTTAAATTAGACAAATTTAGATTTAGGCGTGAAATAGGTAAACACTGGTTTGGAAACAGAGCAGTGGATGAATGGAACAAGTTACCAAATATCATCATTAACTCGAATACGCTGAATTGCTTCAAACATAGGTTGGATGCTCATATGAGCAATAGGGGTTGGGTGTAAACGGGACTGCCCAGTATGGGCCAATAGGCCCGCTGCAGTTTCCTCCATTCTTATGTTCTTATGTTCTTAATACGTGTTTTACAAAATTCGGCCAAAATACGGCCAAATAGTTTGGCCGTGACCATCCGTTTTTTTCACGGTCAGGCGAAGTTTTTTACGGCTTAATTAGAGAAATTTGGCCGTGGAAACGGCCATCTGGCAACCCTGCCATCCGTAAAAACAAAAAACAAAAAAAACATAACATGCTCATTCAAAGTGGCGCTTTATTCCACAACTAAAATAAAACATAATAGAACATATTCACATAAATATGGGGTAACCTAGTTTATATCTAACACAAGTACATTGGCAATTTAATCTTCCTCCCCCGATTTCTCTGTGCGAATGTGGTATATCTGTGGTATATCTCGGTGCATGTCCAGTAATGTCAGGCCTGTCAGTCTCCCATTCCCATTGTTGATCTGAGTGTTGTTTTTATTCGTCTCAGTCCACTGAAAGACCTCTCTACAGAGCATGTCGTTACTGGCAGGGTGCACAGAATAATGAGCAGGGACCTCACGTTGGGGAACATGGAACTTGGTGTCTGGGAGAGGGTGGTGGTCAGCAGGGGTGGATCAAATACAATTGTATTTGAATTTGAATTGTATTTAAATACATTTTCAATGTATATGTATTTGTAATTGTATTTTGGCACCCAGAAGAAAAAGTATTTTGTATTTGTATTTGCATTTCGACACTTGTTAGTGTTACAGGCAGTTGGCAGTAGGAAAAATTTATATTTTGTATTGCTACTTACAGACAATTTGTGAGGACGAAAACACTTGAATTTGTTTGTTTTTTTGTAATTTTGTTTATTTTTATAACTGCTCTACTGCTTTAAGTTGGCAAATGCACTACAGTCATCTGTCAAAAAGAGGTTGCATCCATTTCTGGAGAGGATTGATGTCATTGCCGCAGCTGCCATGGACCCCAGGTTCAAGTTGGCGTAGATTCCATGTGAGGAACTGCAGAAAGAAAAGATTTCGAAGATTGTGGACTTAATTATTGCTGAGTCTACGAAGGACTACAAGGAAAAGGTCCAGAAGGAAGAAATTCAAGAGAATGAGCTTTCCATGAGCATCAACCAAGACAAAGATGGCATAATTGCCAAACGACCTCGTCTCTTTGCCTACATGCCTCCACCTGGGCCATCGATGGCAAGCCCGTCAACAAACCACACTACAGTGGTGAAGACGGAGCTTGAAACGTACCTAGAGGAAGGTGTTCTGCCTTTTGACATCAACCCACTGAAGTATTGGCGTGATATACAAAGCTTTAAAAGTCTGAGGCACTTTGTCAAGAACATTCTAGGCTGCTGTGCAACGTCGGCACCTTCTGAGAGAGTGTTTAGCAAAGCTGGTAATTTTTACACCCCTGAGCGAGCCAAGTTGAGCCCAGAAATCTTCCGGGCATTAATGATGATAAAATGTAATTCTGATATGTGGGTATTGGGTTTGTATTTTTGAACTTGGAAATAAAAGTATTTGTATTTGTATTTTTGCATCATAATGTCACAAGTATTTGTATTTGTATTTGTATTTTTGAATTAAGGAATAAAAGTATTTGTATTTGTATTTTTGCATCATAATGTCACAAGTATTTGTATTTGACCGCTAAAAATCAGTATTTGCTCCAACCCTGAACTAGTCAGTGTAGTTGGAAGACTGGTTGGGCCTTGTTCTTTGGCTTTGTTTTCCCACCTGACACGCCAGGTGTGTACCTCACTATTGACGCTGCCAGGGGATGGCAAGTTTTGCCCGGTAGAGGTCAACCAGCTCCTGTATTCTTCTGTTTCCCTCTGCTGGTGTCACAGTTGCCAAGATGAATGGGATAATGTCCCTGGAAGGCTTTCTGGTGCAGGTGGGTGAACCTCATCTCCAGCTGTGCCAGGAGATGATCTAGGAATGGAATGGTCACAGTTCTCTTGTAGTATTCAGCTGGTCCTTCAGCTGGCATGTTGTCTCGGTGTTGTTGGCGTTTGCAGCGTCTGGGCATGGAAGGTGTGATACCTACAGCCTCACACAGCTGTTCTGCCTGACAAAACCAATCAGTGTAGTGATCATCCATGTTGTTTCGGACGTCTTGTAGTGCTGCTTTAAGATAGTTAACTTCACTGCTGGCCTCAACTATGTCCTTAGCCTCTGCCTGAAGGCTAGTGGTCACACCTTTCAGGTACCCTAGTGCATTGTTGGTGATCACCAGGGACACAATGAACCCTGTGCTGGTGATGGCGAGCAGCAGGGTCTGGGCATCAGCCAGTGAGTCTGTGGACCAGATTGCAGGACCACCCTCCACAATCTTCTCCAAGCAGGCCACCACTGTGGAATGTAACTCCACAAAGGTTGCTAGGACATCTAGGCGTTCCACCCAACGAGTACGGCACAGGTTTTTCAGTTTGTGTTTCCTTGATTCAAGCTGGGTCTCCAGTGTCATGATCGTCATGACAGCTAAGCTAAAAACCTTAAGGATTCATATTACGCTTAAACGTCCACAAAACCTTCTGAGTCCCCCAGTGGAAACGTCCTCCGTTTTCTCTGTTTCCTTGATGACGTCATCGAGAAGCCGTCTTTGTCTGAAGGGAACTTTGAATCGAATCCACGGGTTTTGTAGCAAGACGCTGCATGTTGGGACCTGTTGCCATCCAACCCTTTGTAATCAATTTGATTCTTGCTTTTGTGAAGATAATAGTAGGGAATGAAGCTGAGCTCATAGTCTCAGTTTCAACGTCAGAGTGTACAGTAAAGTAATTCATCGAAATAGAAGTAGGTGGAATCCCTGACCTAGTTTGAGTGAAGGTGCCGCGGTTATTTCAACCATTAGTATGTGCTCGCCCCTTCACCCATACAGGTAGGTCATTCCACTCCTTGTTGTAATTCGCCCTTCTTTAAGTGATTTGACCCAATTAATAGATAATTGTGCAAGTGTTACAGTAACGTAATTGATATGCTTTGAGTGAAGTAATGTTTATGTCTTTAACGTCCCCTGAAACGTGATGTCGTTGTCACAGTCAGTGCTCGCCCCTTCACCCACACAGGTCCCTAACGCAGCCTAGGCAGTGTCTGTAGCGTGGATGTTGTATCCACTAGTCTGGAGAGATGTCCGAGGTCCAGTAGGATCAGTTATCTTCGTGAGACCCGACCGTCAGAAACTTCAGTACTACCTATGGGCCCCATAGCTGGCCTGTCTGACCCTAACGCTCGGCCCGCGAGGTGACCCCGGATCACCAAGCCACACACAACTACCAGCCCCCATCATTGGTGGACGAGTGGCTAGCTCAGTAGGGCTATTTGTGTGGTGGTGTTATTCCACTGGGATCTTCAGAGTTCGTTGGGAAGTACCCCATGGTAGCGGGACCCCATGGCGGTTGCTTGAGTATCACTCCTGACGACTGAGTGTTGTAGTGGCAGTTGCCCCAGGTTTTAATGGTGCTAAGTTACTATAAGAGTTTATGTGTTATTGAGTATGTCCACCCAGTAGCGGTGTGAGTATTTTGAGCCTGAGGGCATAGTACCAGGTTTCGTCTGTTGGTACATATAACTTTCTCCTACCTCCATTTTAATGCTTAAATAAATATTGTATTTGTATATTGTGTCTATTATTTACCTACAGTATCTACCGCTATTTCTTCCCTATTACTTGATACTATCATTACATATACCCATGAGCCTCCTCTCGTCACGCTACCAACGGTTGTAAGTATTAAAGTAAATTATTATAAGCGGCACAGGCCCTTATACCAGGACAGCTGCCTCAAAAGCATATGCTCGTTTAGGATGTCCTTCCATAAAAGTTGAGATCCTGTCCACAGTACCCATCATATTCCTGACACTGGTGATCTGGATGGACTTAACAACAGCTAGGTTGAGGGCATGTGATGAGCAATGCTAGTAGAGAGCTAAGGAATTGGTCTCCTTAATGATAGCTGCTGCCCCCTTGGAGCTGCCAGCCATGTTGCCAGCTCCATCATAGGCCTGACCTCTGAGATGCGGTTTGTTATCTTCTCTGCTAGTATTTTGCCAGTAACCCCAGTATCATGGTGCATGGGAATCACAGAGGTGGTGGAAGTTACCGTGGGTTAGGGTGAGGTCAGGTAATTTGACCCAGCCTTCAGGTTACTAAGGTGTCGCCAGGTCAGGTATGGGTTGGCGGCACAATGCAGTACCTGGAGGGGGGGTTTCCGGGCAACCAGGAAACCCCCCTGAGTGCGCCACTGAGCAGCGTTGTTATTTTATCAGTTTCTTCACTAATCTGGCTCTTAGTTATTTGGGTGGTCAGTCACATATCTTTGTTAGGCACTGTTGGCAATTAGTACTGAGTATGTACTGCTACAGACTGTATCTGCAACTGCGCCAGTTTTGGTCAAGTAAGAGTGTGTGTGTCTGTTGTTTTTTGCATGCGAATATATATATATGGATTTTTTGTGGTTATGTATGCGTGCATGGTTCTTTCTTTTGCATGTATATTGTTTTTTAGTGATATGTATTTGGATGGGTGAGTCTAGTGTACATATTCGATGTCGTCACAACACTGACAGATTATTCCAGGAGTTGACTGAAACAAACCAAGACAGTTGTAAGCAACGGAAATATTAATTATTGTCAACAATAGAATGGTATAGAAACCAAGGAAGAATTTCATTTTGCAAATGATAAATATGTCTCATGTAAATTTTTATTGTTAATGATTGATGAATTTACTAATTCTTAAGAGCTTTGTTGTGGAAGTGCTGTAATATATTATAACATCGACTTTCCATAATACAGTATTTCATAAGTTCTTGTCTTGTGTAACGTATTCAAAAAACTTGCTGAAACATTTTTATTAAAACAACAAAGACACCAGCCACCAGCATCTTACTCTTATATAATTTTATGTACAGAAATGTTGATATTAATCTTTGATTGTTTGAAGTCAATAAATGGTACAGTATTTACTGTCTCCCTGAGTACAGTAGGGGGCAGTGAAATTTTGCTCAAAGCTGCACTCTTCAGGCATTGTTCCTTATACATATCTAAGACTCCATGCCAAATTTGAAGCTGATATGTCGAGGTTTAGTCTGCCGCATTTTCTACTGACATTTTTAAATTTACCTACAGTACTAGCCAAACAGCCGCTGTGGCGGTGCAATGTTCTGTTCAGTGTTTATCAACTTTTTTTTCATATCTCTTATTTCATTTAAGTTGTCTTGTTGCAGATGAGTATGGTGCTATGTCTATATTGATTATCAGCCTTTTCTCATTTCATTTCTCAATATTGTGTTACTGTACTGTAATGTAGGGAAGACCGCCACTCGTGTGATGATAAAGAATGAGAAGACCGAGAAATGGAGTTCGAGGATGATGGTGAAAGATCATTATGTCATCATGGTTGAGCCTGGCAATGAATATCTCACACATGTGACTCCCAAGACTGGACACGGAAAGCAGATTGCCAAAACTATTCATGAGTTTCTGGTGGAGAAAAATCTAACCCAGCAGCCCATTGTGTGTGTTGGTTGTGATGGAACCAATGTAAATGTAGGATCAGAAAATGGAGTCATTCATCATCTTGAAATGTTACTTGGTCACCCGCTCCATTATTTCATATGTCAGCTTCACGGAAATGAGCTGCCTTTCCGCGCAGTTTTTTATCACTATGATGGTAAACCAAGTGGTCCTGAGCATTGGCGTGGTCCCATTGGAAAGCAGATCAAGGAGTCTTTGTCTGAGCTTCCAGTTGTCGCCTTCCAGCCAGTCAGTTTCCCTGATTTCCCTGTGTTTAATGATGAAGTGGAGAAAGATCTGTCCTGGGATCAGAAATACCTGTATAGGATTTGTAAAGGAGTTATCACAGGTGTTGTTGAAGATGACTTGGCTGCTATTGAGCCAGGTCCTCCCTGTGTGTCAAGGTGGAAAACCTTATGGAGTAGAATCCTCAGGCTGTATGTAGCAACATCAAGACCCAGCCATGAGTTGAAAAGAATTGCCATTACAATAATAAAGTTCAGTGCTCCAATGTGGTTTTACATCAAGATACACCCTTACGTAACACACGGCTCAAGGAACGTATTCCAGTCCCTGCTATATATGAAACACCTGAATAGTGAGGAGGAGACGATAGTGAAGAAGGCTGTCCAGAGAAATGCATACTTCGCCCACACAGATCAACTTCTTCTTGGTATGTGTGCAGATGAGGACATGACTGTTAGAGAAAAAGCTGTCTCAATGATAAGAAAAATTAGAACATAAGAACATAAGAACATAAGAAAGTGGGATACTGTAGGAGGCCGACTGGCCCATACAGGGCAGATCCCTTTCACACCCATCCCAGCACTTCCATGTGCCTATCCAACTTCGTCTTGAAGCTCCCTAGCGTCCCCGATCCTACTATAGCACTCGGTAGCCTATTCCACATATCCACAACTCTATTACCAAACCAGTGCTTGCCTTATATCCTTTCTGAATCGGAATTTATCTAATTCTAAAGCCTCATTTGTTCTAGTTATTTCGTTATTACTGAGCTTCAGAACATCTTCCATTTTACCCTTGTTAATCCCACTCCTACCCACTTAGCACCTCTATCATATCTCCCTAACTCTACGCCTCTCAATGAATGGCTCTGTTTTTCAGCGTCTTCTTTCATATGGAAGGTTTCTTAATATTATGGATCATTTTTGTCATTCTTCTTTTGTACTCTCTCCAAAGAATCTATGTCCAATCTATAATAAGGACACCAGAACTGAACCGCATAATCCATGTGTGGCCTCACTAATGCTAGGTAAAGCTCAGATAACGTCAGCAGTTCTGGTTACTCACAGACCCAGATATGAACCCAAGAACTTGGTTTTGGCTTTGTTGCGAACGCTAATACATTGTTTTCTATAGGTTTCAAGTCGTTGCCAACAAATACACCTAGATCTTTTTCACAATCTGAATGTTCTATTTCCGTGTTACCTAGTTTATACTTAACGTTTGTATTCGTCTTCCCTATCTGTAGTACCTTGCATTTATCAGCATTAAAATTCATTTGCCAGTCTACTGACCACTCATGTAAGGTATCTAGATCTCTTTGAAGGTGTTCAAAGTCACTGTCTGAATTTATCACTTTCCCCATTTTGGTATCATCTACAAATTTACTAATCCTACTAGTTATACCTAAATCAAGATCATTAATGAATATAACAAACAGCAGAGGGCCTAATACAGATCCCTGGGGAACTCCGCTTTTGACCGCACCCCAGTCTGACTTTAATCCATTTATGCTGACTCTTTGTTTCCTACCAGTTAACCATGACCTAATCCATTTTAATACTGATCCACCTATTCCATGTGCTTCTACCTTCCTTATCAATCTCTCATGAGGGACTCTATCGAATGCTTTACTGGCAGATCTGAAGAGGAGGAGGAAGATTCTGATGCTGCTGTTGACGAGAATTTGTTAAACTATACTGATGAGGAGGGTAAAGATGGAGATGGGAATGAGGATGTGCCTCCTGTAGTCAACATGAGAAAGGTGGTGACTCCGAAACTAAAGTGGCAAGCAAAAAACTATCATTCCATGATTAACTGGAGGAATGAACTCAAGACTGAGCCTCCTTACATTGCTTCCCTGTCAAATCTACAGGTTAATGACATTCTTGAGACACCATTAGTGGTGCCCAAGTGGCCAAACAGCACTCGGGCGGTCGAGAGAGGCATAAAAGTGATGACTGAAGCTTGCACTGAAGTGACGGGATACGAATCGAGAGATGGATATATTAGGCAAAGATTATTGTCTAGGAAAATGATGCCAAGGTTCCGCACAAAAAAGAATTTCAATATGAACTTGTAATGATTTTCTATACGGTGTACCTGTAAAATAACATATGAATTAAATCGATGTCACCCATGTAAAATTTATCATTATCCTGGAAAACATTAAATGACACCTAATTTTTGGTATACACTAAAAGTTGACAAAAAGTCGTTCGCGATGCGGCAGGGTAAGTATGCATGAAATGGCATGAAATTTTGCACAGGTGTTTGTTACAGCCATACAGACGATGCCTGAAAAGTGCAGCCTGCAACTCAAATAAAAGTGTTTTTTCCCTGCCCCCTAGAGCACAGTCATTTGAACCTACTGTACCTCGTCCGTAGGTAACCAATTAACATTTTGTTAAGAGTTCACGTTGAAGGTGTTATATTAGTCTCCACTCCCCAGCACAGTATTATTGAACGCGAGTCTTGCACACACACAGATTCTTACACCACCAGGCCAGCCCAAGGTGTATACAGATCAGTCAGCAACCTGGGACTTGGTCACAATTTTTGTGATGCCATATGGCAGCAGAGTCTGCCATTAGACAGCACATTATGCTTCCAATATCTTCCCAGGCGGTAATACCTCCCTGTTTGATAGCTGCCTACTAAATTTATGTTTTTCGAATATTTTAATAGATAAAATTACCAACAACATTACTTGTTTAAGGTGGGCAAGGCTTTGAAGTCGAGGGAACATGTGGGGTAAAATACTACAAATATCACCAAACAAACCTTTGAAAACCTGACCTAACGTTTCATAACCTTAAATAATCCTAAAACTAAAAGGTTTACCTTGTTCATATTTTCGGTATTTAGGTGGTGATGCTTTTTTTCGGTTTTTAGTGTGTCTTGTTTACGGAATTCAGATGATGTACGACTTAATACAGAAACTAGATCATGTAATGTACAGTATGGGAGAGCGGTGATGGTTCGGCCACTTTTTCGTAAAATATTTATTGAGTTAAATAATGTATGCAGACAAAGTTTACCGACGCCAAAATGTTGCCTCGTCCTTTGGCTCTTCTGTCTGTAAAATGTAAATCTTTAGCTCTGTTAGTTTTGGAAGAGGAAGGTAATTATTAGAGGTGTCTCAAACGGCCGAACCATCCCCCTATGGGGGATTGGTTATAATACACAAACGTGACGTTTGAAGCTGGTACGGTGCTGGACAAGGGGAAAATTTTAGGTATTAAAAGCCAACAATGGAAAGTAGATTCTAAAAGCCATTTTGTTTCAATCGACTTAAGTGTTTATGATTATAAATTATGCGTCGAACGGTTTGTAAATAAACATTAAAACTAGGCTTTCGTGAACTGATTATATGATATACAGTTTTTTCCGCGTAGTATAAAGGAAGCTACAGTGAATGATGGGGTATATGAGAGAGAGAGAGAGAGAGAGAGAGAGAGAGAGAGAGAGTTTTTATATACCTCGTGAAGTTATTAGCATTGAGTGTTATGGCGAAGGAGATGATGTTTACCAGGAACCACATCAGAGGTGTCACCAACATAATCACTAACATGGCTGGGGACCTGAAGTACTGCCACATGGCCTTCATCTTCTCTACCAAACGCTTACTGGCGGCCTCTTTGGGGGACTGCTGACCCTGGACTTCCTGCGGGCTGGTTGGCGGTTCCTGTGACTGCTGTAAATATAATAAACTTTGGACATGTATAGAATCAACAAAAAATCCCACGGTACCCAAGAATTATGTTAAAACTTGATATAAATATATAATGGTGTATACTCCTTTTTTCAGCCCACAGATAATATTATATTACACTGAAACTATTTAAAAAAAGTGAGACGTTATATTAATTTAATGCTCCCGGTAAAACAAAATGGGGACTAATCGTCAGGTAACACTCTCTCTCTCTCTCTCTCTCTCTCTCTCTCTCTCTCTCTCTCTCTCTCTCTCTCTCTCTCTCTCTCTCGTAGCTCGACAGTGCTCACCTTTCTGAGTTTGTCGAGAAAAGGCTTGAAGGTGCCCGGAATGGGTGAGCGGTTATACTCCGAAGCTCTTACTAACAGCTCTGCCGCCTCCTTCCCACGGCCGTGTTGTGCCAGCCAGCGGGGTGACTCATTCAAGGTCCTGCCACAACAAGCGTAAACATTACTCATAAATAGATGGTTGTACTCATAGATAGATGGTAATACTCATAGACAGATGGTAAAATACATAGATGGTTACACTCATAGATAGAAAAATAATACTCACAGATAGCAAAGCAGTATGAGGCAGACAGGTAAGGCACATATCAGCTGGAGGTAGCGCCACTCCCTGACGAAGTAGCCAGAGATGGCGAAGACGACCAGGAATAAGCCGTAAGGTATTCCCATAAATATCCCCACGACAGACCGGTATTTGGGAGGTGTCGTCTCCATCACTGCAGGGGTTCAAAGGCCTATGTTAGTATTATGGTGATGGTGTCGAATCATAAGCTGAGGTTGTTTTACATTTTAAGACTTACTACTGTATGTACCCAACTTACAGCTGACTATAAGGACTTGCGTTACATTTTTTACTTTACTGTCTTTTTGATGCAGGTGATTAACTTATAAGGACTTACACAAGACATTATAGGTGATTACCTTATATAAGAACTTACACAAGACATTATAGGTGATTAACTTATATAAGGACTTACACAAGACATTATAGGTGATTAACTGATAAGGACTTAAACAAGACTTTTAGGAGATTAACTTATAAGGACTTACAGTACACAAGACATTATAGGTCATTAACTTATAGTTAACTTACACAAGATATTATAGGTGATTAACTTATAAGGACTTACACAAGACATTATAGGTGATTAACTTGTAAGTACTTACACATTAGGGTGTGTCATACGGAGGCGAATTTTTTTTTTTTGAGTTTGAAAAATCGGCCCATGGTATTAATGATGTAGTTCTATGTGCAGAATCATGTGATATCTTCAGATTTGAAAAGTTTTCATTTTTTGCTAGGTAAATTTTAACTTGAATCTTATGAAAATTCAGTATTCCCACCCCTTTACCAACACCAATTAAATAGCTTTATTTAAAGTAAAGTAAATGTATCAGGTTAATTTATTAGGATGAAAATGATCCAGAATAGTGAAACGAATGATCTTGACATTTATTAAATTTAATATTCCTTTAGAAAACAAAATCATCAAATACAAAAACCGGTTTTACTACTACGACCCAGTGTTGCTGCACACCATAGAGAACATGTCTTTCTTGCTTCTGTTTTTACTCATCACCTCCCTGTTGACCACCTGAGCTCGGATGTAGCCTTCCCTCCTCTCATGGCTGTACACGTGACTGCTGGCCTCGCTCACTTGCTGTACACAACGCTCTATACTCTGGGTGTGCGAGGGCCAGGCAGGGACATGCATGGGGTTGTCCAGAAAAGCTCTGACTTGAACATTGGTGAGGCTGCAGGTAAGAGGGGGCTCACTGCCAGCCTGGATGTTATCCAGATCTAGGAGATCAGTGAAGGTCTTGGCACCTAGATTGACTTCAGGAGTCTTCCTGACCCTGAAGGAATCGTCACCAACTGATTCGTCATGCCCAGATCCTCTCATAAGTCTCATATCCAAGACCTTTTTGACTGCCACTCTTCTCTCCTCCTCATCCTTACTGCAGAGCATTGTCTGCAGAACTGCCTCGGGATGAGCATACCAGGAAGATCTCCTCACAGTCTGCTCCACAATCTGAACAACGTTCCTTGGCTGACTCCTCAGGAGCTCAAGCTGGAAGAGAACATGCCTCGGACCTTCGGAGAACGATGACTTGACCTTGGTGTTTAACCAATTTGGCAAGTAGACACTCACGATGAATTGGACAATAAGTCTCAGGTTGTGAAGCTGGTTCCCTTTCAGTTTATGATGAGCGACCCAAATTCTGCAGAACCTGAGAGCCGTTGTGAGCCACCTAGAAAGTGAGACTGGACCTATCTGCAGGTAAGCAAGTCTATCAGGCATGACCCCAGTTTTGATGGCACTGCAAATAACCATAGTACTGGTCAGTACTCAGGTCGTTAATGACAGTATGTGCAAGCTCAACGAGTGGAGGGCCAACTGTGATTTTTTCAAAGCTCGGATTTATTTCTAACTCAGTGGCAGAGTCCAGCATCTTGCCAAGAGGACCAGACCATCTGTTGTTTGAAAGAGTCTTGCCATCCAGCTCCTGGATCAGATGTCTGAGTGACAACTCGTTGGTGTGGAGGTCACAAACAATCCAGACCACCTTCCTCCTAATCTTCCGCTCTATCCACTGTATGACCCCCCCTTGTCACCCTGTGTTCGTGTTGGTGCTGTCCCCTCCAATGGCCTGCAGGGTCTGGTCTACGTTCCTCTCTCTGAGCCAGTTCACAATGTTATCTGCCACTATCTCAGCTGGTTTCTGATGTCATCTTTTCTGGAGGAATGCCACAACATTTCCCTCCTGGTTCACTGCAGCAGTGAGAGAAAAGTTCCTCCTTCACCATGGCAGGAACAACTCTATCAGAATCTCCAACTTTCTAAGTGAACACTTTAGTGTCATCCCTCCCCACTTCAAAGAACAAACAATTGATTCCATTTTCTTTATCCCCTTATCAAACTCCTCTAGGTTACTGGACAAGTTTCTCCCCTGAGCTCTCCTCTACTTTTGTTATGATCTATCACCAGGTGAACATCATCAGGTGTTATCAAACCACTGTCAATCCAGGCAGCTGTTGCTATCTCTGCAGTTTCTCTGAGACCAGTGTGGTGTCGCATGCTGGCCAGAGCTATGCTCGGGATATCTTTCCTATTTCGAATTTTATGCCTGGAAGGTTTGGGATCATTATTTTCTGGGTTAGGGACAAAGTCACCTTTCTCCTGGTCAGCACTCGGATCAGCCATGGGGAAGTCATTAAACTCTGAATCAGCTTGACTCCAATCATCGGCCTTTTTTTACCTCACCCTGGGCCTTCTCAAGTCTCTTTTCCTCGGCAACTCTTCTCTTCTGTCTCTCTGTGGCAGCCTCCTGTCTCTTGGACTCCGGAATATCTTGGCTAGAAATCATGAGAGCCCCTATACTGCCAGTCTTCTCTCTCTGTGCTTTGACAAATGCCAGCTCGATCACAGGAATCTTCAGTTCACGCTTGCAAATACAGGAGATGTGGGCCTCGGATTTACTGTCACGATCGCATCCAAACTCAGGACAGAGAACAATTGGGCACTTGCAAGTAATTATGTCAAATAACTGGTCCAGCTATTAAGTAAAGCTGTCCTTAACTGCAAGTTTTCTTCTCCCAAGAGAGATATCTCTTGCCTTTTCCCAACTGGCTAGCAGTCTCTCACTAATCTTCTTCTGACTTGTTATGACTGGAGGCTTGAACTGAGCGTTAGCCAGAGTGTACTGTGCCAAGACAGCTTTGGTCATATCACTGGCAATGTCTTTGTTTGTGTAAGTTCTTTGGTTCTTTTCACTGATTTGCCTGATTAAAACACCGTATCTCCAAGCATCTCTCAATGTAGGCAACTCCGACTTCAGGAGCTCTCTCCCAGACCCAAGATAGTGACTGAGATGGCTGCATTTTTGGTTCCTCGTCCTGACACAAGCAGCCATCGCAAATATTATCAACTTATAAATGCATCAGAATCTGAAACAGAAAAAAATATTGTTAGTTGGGTTGTTAAAGAATGAAGTCAGAAAGCAATGTTCACTATCTAATTGTAATGCACTAATGCAGCTGTACGTTAGATTTTCGATAAATTTCACGGGCTAATATTTACTTGTAAAAAAGGTTGCAAAATATTGAAACTGAAATTATTTTCTGTTTATATACACTCAAAATCTACCAAAAGTGATAAATATTAGTTTTAGCTGATCTTCCTCCTATGGAGACAATCTCTATTACACATGACATTATAGGTGATTAACTTATAAGGACATACACAAGATATTATAGGTGTTTAACTTATAAGGACTTACACAAGACACTATAGGTGATTAACTTATAAGGACTTACACAAGATATTATAGGTGATTAAGTAATATAAGGACTTACACAAGATATTATAGGTGATTAACTTATATAAGGACTTACACAAGCTATTATCGGTGATTAACTTATAAGGACTTATATAAGATATTATAGGTGATTAAATTATAAGGACTTACACAATACATTATAGGTGATTAACTTTTAAGGACTTACACAAGACATTATAAGTGACAACTAGGGCGACTTTCAAGCACATGACATTGGCAGTATTAGAGACTTTATAAGGTTTTTGCCAATGTTGCATTTATAGGCGATTAACTTATATAAGGACTTACACAAGATATTATAGGTGATTAAACTATACGGACTTACACAAGATATTATAGGTGATTAACTTATATAAGGACTTACACAAGCTATTATCGGTGATTAACTTATAAGGACTTATATAAGATATTATAGGTGATTAAATTATAAGGACTTACACAATACATTATAGGTGATTAACTTTTAAGGACTTACACAAGACATTATAAGTGAGTAACTAATTAGGACTTACACAAGACATTATAGGTGATTAACTTATAAGGACTTACACAAGACATTATTGATGATTAACTTATAAGGACTTACACAAGACATTGTAAGTGATTAACTTATTTGGACTTACACAAGATATTATAGGTGATTAACTTATAAGGACTTACACAAGACATTACAGGTGATTAATTTTTAAGGACTTACACAAGACATTATAGGTGAATAACTTATTAGGACTTACACAAGACATTATAGGTGATAAACTTATAATTACTTACACAAGACAGTAAAGCTTATAATAATCATCCTGCTGCAACCACCTGCCACCAGTCTGAGCAACATGACTACGGGGTACCACGGCGCCAAGGCCACACCCAGACACGCTGGTAGTCCCAGCAGCCCTCCTACTAGGATACCTCTCTTGCGTCCCAGCCTGCAACGTTCAAGTACACAGAGAGAGAGAGGGAGAAATAGTCAGTATAATATTCATACCCGGTAACAATGATTTAGCATGTATACAGTAGGTTTATAAACAGTAGGTTTATAAACAGTAGGTTTATAAACAATGTATTTGGTGGGGACAAATCTTCATGTGAACCGTCCAAACCTCACCTAATCTACCTGTCATATACAAGAAAAATACTTGTGTGTGTGTGTGTGTTTGATCACTTACAAATCTGCCAGTGGACCAACGATCCAAGAGCCTAGTATACCGCCCGTGGCAAACATCTGCTGGTAGCGTGGCCGTAGTGATGTCCTCTCACACACCAAGTGGAACTGCAGTGAGAGAAAGAATCTTGATGTGTTGGGTAGTACTGTGCTGGTCGTGTTGTATTGGGGGCGGGGAGGGGGGTTAATTAATATTTACACCGCTGGACACCATTTTATGTAAGGGGGAAGATATATTCTTTCTTTTTTATTTTATTCCTTTTACTTGTCTCCTATCGAGTTATATTCTATATAGGGCTTACCTGGGAAACCCCTTGTGACTTTATAATCTTCAATACTCACGGTAGCTGCCACCACCCAGGTTTTTCTATCAAGATAAACGAGATTCTAAAATACAAAACTGATAATAATTTCAATACACTCACCACATTCTCCGGGGTATGTAGATCAAGGAAATACAACTTCAGTTTTTAATTGCTACCCCGTAACCTCACGAGAAATATTGATTGTGGCTGTGGGTCTGCCACTCAAAACACATCGTTTTAACACAATTTACACTCCACACAAAGAAAGACGAAGCCTTCAACATATACTCAATACACCTTGAATGCTTCAGCTCACTGTAGGTATATCTGACTTATAGCTACTCATACAGGTTATAGCATAACTTAAAATTTACATTACAGAAGTGACTTGAGGCAGAGAGAGAAAATTTATGGTACCTCTCGCTCGGAAAAAAAAAACAAGTCTCTCTATAGGGGTAACTCATTAGTCTCACCCATGTTTTGTGGATGGTATAATTAAGTGGTGAACATACTAGCCGTGCAATTGTGACTATGACAGTGTCGTGTAGTGTAATATTGGTCGGATTGTGTGTAATGTTGTAGGTAAAAATCGGCTCAATATTAACCAATAGTACCAACGAATGCATCAGTTTTGTCTTATAATTTTTTGCTTTTCTTGTTCGACTTGATGAGGTTTGTGTAATATTTTTGTGTGTTATGTCGGACTTGGTTAAATTTACGTTATAATTGTGCGTTTTATAGTTGCCCGTTAATGTGTCAACCAACAGCTGGATCCAGGAAGCTCTGAGAAAACTAGCTGGCTTTATTCATTAGTAGTGAATCATTACGCTAGTTACCAGTACACTAAGCAAAAATAAGGAGGTAAAACATGTCAAGTATTTAGTGATCTTCTGTGATCTACAATGCCATAGTGTTGTTGACGTTGACGAAATTTGGGAACGGTAATTTTAAACCCTTGAAAACGATGGTCCCGAAAGGAACAAACGTTAGGGTCAGACAGGCCAGCTATGGGGCCGATAGATAGTACTGAAGTTTCTGACGGTCGGGTCTCACGAAGATAACTGATCCTACTGGACCTCGGACATCTCTCCAGACTAGTGGATACAACATCCACGCTACAGACACTGCCTAGGCTGCGTTAGGGACCTGTGTGGGTGAAGGGGCGAGCACTTGCTGTGACAACGACATCACGTTTCAGGGGACGTTAAAGACATAAACATTACTTCACTCAAAGCATATCAATTACGTTACTGTAACACTTGCACAATTAACTATTAATTGGGTCAAATCACTTAAAGAAGGGCGAATTACTACACGGAGTGGAATGACCTACCTGTATGGGTGAAGGGGGCGAGCACTTACTAACGGTTGAAATGCCCACGGCACCCTCACTCAAACTAGGTCAGGGATTCCACCTACTTCTATTTCGATGAATTACTTTACTGTACACTCTGACGTTGAAATTGAGACTATGAGCTCAGCTTCATTCCCTACTATTATCTTCACAAACAATGCTCTGACTGAGCTATCAAAAGCAAGAATCAAATTGATTACAAAGGGTTGGATGGCAACAGGTCCCAACATGCAGCGTCTTGCTACAAAACCCGTGGATTCGATTCAAAGTTCCCTTCAGACAAAGACGGCTTCTCGATGACGTCATCAAGGAAACAGAGAAAACGGAGGACGTTTCCACTGGGGGACTCAGAAGGTTTTGTGGACGTTTAAGCGTAATATGAATCCTTAAGGTTTTTAGGTTAACTGTCATGACTATCATGACACTGGAGACCCAGCTTGAATCAAGGAAACACAAACTGAAAAACCTGTGCCGTACTCGTTGGGTGGAACGCCTAGATGTCCTAGCAACCTTTGTGGAGTTACATTCCACAGTGGTGGCCTGCTTGGAGAAGATTGTGGAGGGTGGTCCTGCAATCTGGTCCACAGACTCACTGGCTGATGCCCAGAACCTGCTGCTCGCAATCACCAGCACAGGGTTCATTGTGTCCCTGGTGATCACCAACAATGCACTTGGGTACCTGAAAGGTGTGACCACTAGCCTTCAGGCAGAGGCTAAAGACATAGTTGAGGCCAGCAGTGAAGTTAACTATCTTAAAGCAGCACTACAAGACGTCCGAAACAACATGGATGATCACTGCACTGATTGGTTTTGTCAGGCAGAACAGCTGTGTGAGGCTGTAGGTATCACACCTTCCATGCCCAGACGCTGCAAACGCCAACAACACCGAGACAACATGCCAGCTGAAGGACCAGCTGAATACTACAAGAGAACTGTGGCCATTCCATTCCTAGATCATCTCCTGGCACAGCTGGAGATGAGGCTCACCCACCTGCACCAGAAAGCCTTCCAGGGACATTATCCCATTCATCTTGGCAACTGTGACACCAGCAGAGGGAAACAGAAGAATACAGGAGCTGGTTGACCTCTACCGGGCAAAACTTGCCATCCCCTGGCAGCGTCAATAGTGAGGTACACACCTGGCGTGTCAGGTGGGAAAACAAAGCCAAAGAACAAGGCCCAACCAGTCTTCCAACTACACTGACTAGTTCAGGGTTGGAGCAAATACTGATTTTTAGCGGTCAAATACAAATACAAATACTTGTGACATTATGATGCAAAAATACAAATACAAATACTTTTATTCCTTAATTCAAAAATACAAATATAAATACATATACTTCTGAAATTAAGATGTAAAAATACAAATACAAATACTTTTATTTCCAAGTTCAAAAATACAATCCCAATACCTACAAATCAGAATTACATTTTATCATCATTAATGCCCGGAAGATTTCTGGGCTCAACTTAGCTCGCTCAGGAGTGTAAAAATTACAAGCTTTGCTAAACACTCTCTCAGAAGGTGCCGACGTTGCACAGCAGCCTAGAATGCTCTTGGCAAAGTGCCTCAGAATTTTGAAGCTTTGTATATCACGCCAATACTTCAGTGGGTTGATGTCAAAAGGCAGAACACCTTCCTCTAGGTACGTTTCAAGCTCCGTCTTCACCACTGTTGACGGGCTTGCCATCGATGGCCCAGGTGGAGGCATGTAGGCAAAGAGACGAGGTCGTTTGGCAATTATGCCATCTTTGTCTTGGTTGATGCTCATGGAAAGCTCATTCTCTTGAATTTCTTCCTTCTGGACCTTTTCCTTGTAGTCCTTGGTAGACTCAGCAATAATTAAGTCCACAATCTTCGAAATCTTTTCTTTCTGCAGTTCCTCACATGGAATCTACGCCAACTTGAACCTGGGGTCCATGGCAGCTGCGGCAATGACATCAATCCTCTCCAGAAATGGATGCAACCTCTTTTTGACAGATGACTGTAGTGCATTTGCCAACTTATAGCAGTAGAGCAGTTATAAAAATAAACAAAATTACAAAAATAAAACAAATTCAAGTGTTTTCATCCTCACAAATTGTCTGTAAGTAGCAATACAAAATAAAAAATTTTCCTACTGCCTACTGCCTGTAACACTAACAAGTGTCGAAATACAAATACAAATACAAAATACTTTTTCTTCTGGGTGCCAAAATACAATTTCAAATACATATACATTGAAATGTATTTAAATACAATTAAAATTCAAATACAATTGTATTTGATCCACCCCTGCTGACCACCACCCTCTCCCAGACACCAAGTTCCATGTTCCCCAACGTGAGGTCCCTGCTCATTATCCTGTGCACCCTGCCATTAACGACATGCTCTGCAGAAAGGTCTTTCAGTGGACTGAAACGAATAAAAACAACACTCAGATCAACAATGGGGAATGAGAGGCTGACAGGCCTGACATTACTGGACATGCACTCTTAAGACGTGTCCTCTCTCTCTCTCTCTCTCTCTCTCTCTCATCTATTTGTCCTCTCAGTTGACCTCTGACCCAGCTTGGAGAAGGTCGTGCGATCGTGCTCCCGCTAGAGACCAAGGAAAATGGCCGCTTTGGATCGTTGTGCCGTGGGGGAAGAGGAGGGGAGTGTGGGGAAGGACGACCTCCTTGCCACGCTGTTAAGGCAGCTGGGGCAGTTGAGGAGTGAAGTTGACACTCTAAAGGGGGAAAATGAAGCCCTCAGGACGGAACTCCTTCAGGTAGGTGTCCTGCCTAGCAGGACACCTGCGAAGGAGGAGCAGGCGTGGAGAGTGGTTGTCTCCAAGGGGACTAGGGTCAGGCTTAGGAAAGCTGACCAGGGTGTGGAGTGCAGTAACCCTTACCAGGTGCTGCAGGAAGCTGGAGAGGAAGAGAAGAGGCAGGACGGTATGGATCAAGGAGAGGAAAGGGCAGTTGTACAAACCCTGCCCACAGGTAAGGTCGTGGTAGTTGGTGACAGCCAGGTGAGGTTTATGGATAGGGCTTTTTGTGCGAGAGATAGAAAACGTAGGACTAGGGTGTGTTTTCCTGGGGCTGGGATAGGGCATGTAGCCGAGAGGTTAGACAGGGTTTTGTCAGGGGAGGGTACCAATCCAGTAGTGTGTCTTAGTGTGGGAGGAAACGACATAGGTAAGGTTAGGAGTGAGGAACTTTTCAAGAGGTATAGGGAGGCGCTGGGGAAGATTAGAGATAGGGGAGGGATCCCGATAGTATGTGGTGTCTTGCCTAGAAGAGGGGTTGGTCGTGAATGGCTGTCCAGGGCAATTGCTATTAATTGCCGACTGGAAAACATTGTGCAAACAATGGTTGGGCATTCATTGATGACTGGCAACGATTTTATGGCAACGACTACCTGTACTGTCGCGACGGAGTACACTTGTCTCGTGAGGGGGTAAAGACGTTGTCTGCATCCC